GTCTCCAGTCCAGCCACGGCCAGAGACAAAGGAAGGGGCCGGGAGACCGCCTCCCGGGGATCTAAAGGGCTGGGACGTCTGCGCTCCGGATTTCTCGGCCGGGGGGCGCAGGCTCGGGACGGGAAAGCGAGGCCGGAGCTCCGTCGCGCGTTTGCGGGCGCACCTGTGCGCCGCCCTCCCCAGTTCCGACGCCTGCTTGGTGCAGGTGTAGGAGGTGCAGGGGCAAAAGGGGAGACCTGGGTTTCCAGGAAACCCAGCGAGGCCAGGGGAGGACGGGAGCGAAGTCTACACACCACATAAACGGTTGGGGGAGGCGGGGTGGAGAGGCAAGCTGCAGCCTCTGAAGAAGTTGGCGGTTTGATAGTGGATTCTCTCCCAAATAGTTAGAAATAGTTGGTTAGAAGTTTGATGTTTGCTTTTGAGCCGTGTAAAAAATGTGTTAGAAACCTTTTTACCGCTTGCCTGCGAAGATGAGCCTCTGCTGGTCAGGGGGGATGCCTCCTGACCGCACTTTTTCTGATTACAACATCCAGAAAGTGTCAACCCTGCTCCTGGTCCTCCGTCTGAGCGGTGGCTGTTAATTCTTCAGTCTTGTGTTCACGGTGCCCAGTGATGGCATTACTCTGCGCTATAGCCATTTGTCCCAGTTTAAGTTTAGAAATTACCACTTTCATTAATAGCTGAGCCTGTTCAAAATGTTAATAAAGGTTTTTGTTGCATTGTAAAAAAAGAAAAAAGAAAAGAACCTTTTTAACTTATCAGACACCAACACTATTTCTTGGCAACATCGGTTATTAAAATGTTTCACTTTTCACTCTTAGCCATGACTTTAGGGTCTTAAAAGAAAACTGCCTTTAATGAAGCTGAATCTTCACTTCCATTTTTACTATCTTCTTTTTACCAATACTTAAAGTATAAAGTCAGAGTTGGTAGAGTATTTGTTTCGCATGGAGCCACCTGATGTCAATATCTTTGTTTAGAAATCTGAAATTTCCTCAGTAGATATAAAATTGTTAGGAAGTCTTCAATAATACTATGAAAAATTAAGCAAGACGTTAAGATTCATTATGCAAACGAAGTCCAGTATCTTTATCACTACTTTTCATGCTGTTTTCAAAAATTTCATAGGCTCCCCCCACCCCTACCCCCAAGTCTGGTCTCACTCTGTTACAGACTGGAGTACAGTGATAGGATCACAGCTCACTACAACCTGGAACTCCTGGACACAAGCAGTACTCCTGCTTCAACCTCCCCAGTAGCAGAGTCTACAGACTCATGGGCACATGCCACCACTCCCAGCTAAATATTTTTTTTTAGAAACACAAGGTCTTGCTATGTTGCCCAGGCTAGTCTTGAATTCCTAGTGGGAATTCAAGTGATTCTCCCACATTGACCTCACAAAGTGCTGGGATAAGAGGTGAGAACCACCACAACCAACTCAAAGCTTTTGATGTATTCTTTTTTTGTCTTATCCTGTTATGTACTTTGGCTGTCCTGATTGTTAAAATTATTCATTTATAGTGAATTGGCAATCTATGGAGGTTCTTGCATATATCATATAGGTGTTGTTATAGCCATACAAGTGTATTTATATTGAAGTGTATGCTGCAGTAATATTTAGGAATATTTAGGAACAGAAGAGGTAAAGTTATGAAAGAAGTTTAGCTGCATGAATGAAAATACATAAGGGCTGTGTTATTAACATGTAGGAGGGTACAGCACTTAACAATTTCCTAGGCAGAACAAAATCAAAATACTTGAAATGTCGAATTACTTCTTTTGTTTGGATCTTGGAGAAAAATCACAAAATAGTAATGGGTTTCAAGTTAATAGGAGTATTGAGGGTCAGTGAAAGACTGTTATAGTTGACTAATACTGAATTTTTATTTGGTGTATTTCATTTGATATAAATGAAGCTGTTCTAATAGAGATAAGAGCAAAGCTTTTGAGGTGATCACACACTAGTCAATCATTTCTACTGAAATCTTGGAGTCATCTGTGACTCCTCACAGCACAGCAATTGGCTTTGGAGTTAAATTCATGTCAAATCCAACTTTACTTCTTGTGCAACCTTGAATAAGTTATCTCTCTCTTCAAGTCTCAGTTCCACAGTTGTAGAGTGGATATACTGCCTATCCCAGAATGTTGTCAGAATTTGAGAAATTCTGCAAAGTACTTAGCACAGCACCTAGCACTCAGGGTGTGCGTGAGAGATGACTGTTGTTGTTATCCTTTGTCGTATTCATCTGAGTAGTTTGGGCATTATCTTATTGCAGAAAAGTCAACATATACAGAAACATGAATTTAAGAATTATCACTCTAATTCCATTTGCCAGAATGGCTACTATTAACAATTTCCAGACTTTTTCTTTACATAAACAATTCTCAAATGACATACAATTTTTTTTTTTTGAAAACTAGGTCATACTATATATGCTGTCTTTATCTTCACCTTGGTCTCTTTACCAAACGTGACTTAACTACATCCATTAGGTGAATGATAGTTTCTGTCTTCATTACTGCAGTTATCTTACCAGGAGCTCAACTTCAGTTTGAGCTCAGCTTCAATTTTTTTTCAATTAGTTCCTAATACCAACAGTAAGGCCTTTTTTTTTTTTTTTTTACTTCCTTTATGCAAAGAGCTATCCAGGGTAGCTCTTAAAACCAGGTAGGTTTCTGTTTTATAATGAATCTGGATTTCTACCTTTAAGGTGTCCTCCAATTTCATTTGTAGCCTTGTCCGTTTATTTTTGTCAGCCTGGCTTTAAGTACTTACAAGATTCTGTTCCTGGAGACTTACATTTAAACACTAAGAGAAATGGATACAGGGAGACTTTCTTTTGTCCTTGGTCCTAATCAGCCTGGACTCTACCTGACCAAGCCATGATGGCTGAGGCAACAATACTGGTGATTTCAGTTCCCTACTCTTCCTCTTTGAAGTTAGTAAATATCACCATTGAACGTTCTGTAGGCGCTCTCATTACATGATCATAGTTCTCACTGTGGATAGCACTAGACATCAACTCTTAGCCCAGGTGCACTGTGTGTGTACTCTTATTTAAAAAAGATAAGTCCTTTGGTTCCATACGTTCTTTCTTGGCTGGAGCTAATTTTGCTTGTCCAGAGAGAGGCTCTCTGCATATAAAGTGTAGATGTGTACTTAAAAATAGTTGTGTGGAAAATACAACATTGGCTAAAACAATAGCCTTTAAGTTTGAATACATTCAAAGCCATTTGCACTTAACAGTTCACCCTGCTTATATCAGCCCTCCCAGATTTACTTAACTCACATTTGTGTGAGAACTGCCTCAGCAAGGAAGGTAGGGCCATAGTTTACTATGTATGTTAATTTGGCTGGGTTAGGGGTCAGCAAACTATTTCTGTAAGGGCCAGATAGTAAATAGTTTTATCTTTGTGGCCACTTAGTCTTTGTTGAAATTGCTCAACTCTGCCATTTTAACTTGCAAGTTACATACCATAGACAATATGAATCAGTGTGGCTGTGCTCCAGTACAGCTTTACTGACAAAAACAGGTGCCAACCAGGTCATTGTTTGCTGACCCCTGGTTTAAAGTATAAAATCTAATAGTAATAATATCTGTTAGATATATCTCATTTCCTTAATGAATGTTAATTTAATCTTTCTTCATCTCTTAAACTGTTTAAACATAAGACTTTTTAAAACCCCGACTTTATTTTTTCTTTCTCCACTATTTCCTAAGCCTCTATAATTTTAATGGAGTCTTTATTGACAAGTGATGGAGAGAAGACAATCTTCGTTTACAGGATGGAAAGCCTTGAGGCCAAAACTGATTCCTCAATGGGTCTGTGGCCACCTGCTGGTGCCTTAAGGTTATTGCAACTTCCAAGATTGCTGTGGAATTTCACAGCCCAGCAGTGCTTCTCTACTCTGCCTGCTCATAGATTCACCTGAGAAACTTTAACAAAATGCTGAGGTCCCACCTCCAGAGAGCCTCATTGGTTTGGAGTAGGTCACAGGTTTAGATCCTTTTTTAAGGCCCTTCCTCTCTGTCTCAGATGATTCTAATGTGCTGCCAGCTTTGAGAACCATTGTGCTAGTTCAACTGGTTGCCTCATTGCAGCATTTAAAAAGCAAAATTGAATTTAGTGGCACCAGGTGGTATTTGTTTATATTTGAGCTGTGGGGTAAAGCCATTCATTCCAGTTTTGAGTTAATCCCTATGTGCACTCTCCAATACTAACCAGTATTCCAGAGTTTATTTCTACAGACATATGGGTCACATATATAATTCTTATAATTAATTGCTAATTACATTAAAGAAGAATTTAATTTGAGACTGACAAGTCATGAAAAGATGAAATGGAGTTGTTGAAATTCAGGCATGTGTAAAGAAGGAAAACCAACAATTGACTACATTTATATAGTACACCAGTTTTCAGTTCCAGCACTATAAGAGAAGATTTTTATGTGGTGATTACATGTAATTACAGAAGGTAATTAAACAGATCTGTTTTCTGTGTGTGAATAGTATAGCTGATTGATTTAGATAGTCAGGTTAAATCATCTACTGCAGTTTCTCTTTTTGGGTAACCTTTAAAGACTCTTAGCTCTAACTTTATCTTCTTTTCTTTTTGAACAGATTGTTCCTTTTAATAGCTAGAAGTTTTGTTATTAGATTTCATTCACATTTTTAAATTTATATTTTGATCCACTTAGAAGGTAAATTGTAGTTAAAGTATAATTTAAATGATACCTTAACTATAATTTATGATTTTAAATGTTTTACAGTTATTTACAGTCATTGTAAATTAAATCAGAACTGTACATTCAATTTGTAGAATCTTAATGTTGCATATGAAACATATGTAGTATCAAACTATTACACGATCACTGTATGAATAGAAGACTTTCAGACCTAAAATATTCAGTGGTTTCATGGTGAATCTTAAAACTAAAATAAATGATATGTTCAGAAATGTATTCTGAATCTCTGTTCCAGATAGCTAATGCTTGACATTTTCTAAGTATTGTGTTTTCACTCTAGTGCTTCTGAGGTTTTCTTTACATTGCTTTACCATGGCAAATAGGCTGTTACCTCCTTGTTGCTAAACCTTGGTTCCTTTACTCAACATCTGCTCTTTCTGAAAGCTTTTCCTTGGGTAATTCAATATCCTTGAACACATCTTGCCGTCCCATAATACAACTTCCATAATAACATCTGTGGTATATTGTTCACATTAGTTACTGTGTCTTCTAAGGCTGTAATAACAAATGGCAACATTTGTTAAGGTTCTTAAAACAACAGAAATTTATTCTCTCACAGTTGTGAAGCCCAAGTGTCTGAGATCAAGGTTGACAGGGCCATGCTGCTTGGAAGCCCCTAGGGAAGAATTCTTCCTTGCCTTTTCAGCTTCTGGTTATTGCCATCAATCCTTGGTATTTTGGGGCTCATATACTCATCCTTCTAATCTCTCTGTCTTCACATGTCATTTTCTCTGTGTCTCTGTCTTTACATGACCTTCCTTTAAGGATACCAGTCCTTTAGGGCCCACTCTAAACCAGTGTGTCCTCATCTTACCTAATTATATCTGCAAAACCTTATATTCTACTAAGGTTACATTCTGAGGTTCTGGATGGGCATGAATTTTGAGGGGATACAATTAAATCTAGTATGGTAAGAACATGTAATGTTTCTCACCATTGTTCCTGTTCTGTTTATCCAGTAGATTGTAAAAGACTTCCTAATAAAGTAAGAAATTAAGATTTTGCAAAGAACATTTTTAAATAGCTATATATTTTAATACTATTATATATTAAAACTTAGTTTCCGAATATATCATGCAATTATAATGATATTTAGCACATTTTCCACCTATTAGGGGTAAACATAAATGTTATAATTTTGGATTTCTGATATATTTAAAAAATGCTTTTCTGTCTCTTTCTTTTTTTTTAGGACTGCACCATTCAAGAAAAAATAGACTTGGAAATTCGAATGCGAGAAGGAATATGGAAACTCCTTTCTCTGAGCACTCAAAAAGACCAGGTTTTACATGCAGTTAAGAATCTCATGGTGTGCAATGCTCGAATAATGACTTATACATCGGAGCTACAGAAATTAGAAAAGCAGATTGCAAATCAAACTGGAAGTTGGTTAGTAACATAGTATACCCGTGGCTTTTAATACACTTAAATATTTGAATTAAAAACACAGTATATTTTAAACTTAAGTACAGATGTCAGATCACTAAACCTTTTTAAAAAAGACACTGAAGTAGCAACTGACATCAAAGACATTTTGACAGTAGAGCTTAGAGGGAACTTAATATTAGGCAGTAGCTTTTATTGGGCATTTTTTATTATGTTCAGTATGTGATTATAAAATGAAAATGGTTCAGAAGCAAGCTCTGAGGGAGTATTTTAGGAACAAAGAACAAGGACTGATAGTTGAGTATATAGAAATACGGAGTAAAAAAATGATTTGAGTTCTTCTGGGTATATTCCCAGAAGGGGAATTGCTGAGTCATATGGAAGGCAGATTTTTAGATCTTTTAGGAAGCACCGCACTTTTTCCCACAGATGTTGTACTGGTTTACGCTCCCACAAGCAGTGTAGAAGCACTCCCTTTTCTCCACATTCTTGCCAGCATCTGTTGTTTTTTGAGTTGTTGTTGATGGCCATCCTGTCTGGAGTTAGGTGGAATCTCATTGTGGTTTTGATTTGCATTTCTGGCTGAGCATTTTTTCATGTATCTGTGGGCTGCTCATATGTCTTCTTTTGAGAAGTGTCTGTTCATATCTTTTGCCCACTTTTTAATAGGACTGCTTATTTTTTGAGTTTCTTGTAGATACTAGTTGTTAGACCTTTGTCAGATACACAGTTGGCAAATATTTTTTCTCATTCTGTGGGCTGTCTCCCTGCTCTTTTGATGATTTCTTTTGCTTTGCAGAAGCCTTTCAGTTTGATGACGTCCCACTTGTCTGTTTTATCTCTTATGGCATGGGCTCTTGGGGTTTTGATCAGGAATTGGTTGCCGGTTCCATTTTCCGTAAGGGTGTCTCATGCATTTTCTATTCTTAAACCAGGTGAAGTGGAGACCAATGGAAGACCCAGTTTTTATCTGTACAATAATTACTTGTCTACCTAATGTCTATTGGGCTTCCATAGAAAAGATGGGGAAAAATTACCTGAAACTGTTAATTGAAAATGTATATGATTTACTGATTATTTTTGATAGACAAAAATATCTTTGTTGCTGCATATACACATTTATATTTGTTCATCATTCATATAAAAATATTGTTTCCCTTAAGTATTGAATTATTTCCTGAATTGTACTTAATCTTGAATTGTACTCACATCTTAAATAAAATAAAATTAGAGTAAAAAAATTAGTTGCTTAGAGGTGTGCTAATAAATAGGAATTAGCTAAGTGTATTGGAAACTTAAGTATTGAAGTGAGTGGACAGCAAAATTATAAAGATAAAACCTTATGAATGGAAGCGAATTTATGTATGAAATTTATATCCTGTCCCATCTACAATGCTAAAATCTTACTTGGACCTAGCTCACATTAATGGCTAGATTTTGGTGTCTTTTTAAAATTTAAATAGTTTTACATTCCCCATTCTTGATTAGTCTTACAACTCTGACACAAGTGAAGTTTCTTTTTAGATAATAATGGTTGTTGGGTTGGCCATAGCGTAGTTCCATTAAATTCTTCACTACAGTCTGGGCGACCGAGTGAGACTCCAACTCAAAAAAAAAAAAATATTGAAAGGAAGGTAAAAACAGGCCAGAGTAGGAGATTTCTATAAAAAGTAAAATATTGATGAGGTTGGTTACATGTATCACTGAGAGTACATGATTATGTGTCAGGAAATATGCAAAGCCATAGAACAAATATGGCATGTCTTCTTAGAACATGAGTTTTTAAGATTACACATGCGAAGTTTAGAATTATGGAGTATTTTTAGGTTATGCTTTCTTACTCCTAGGAATATATATTCCTTCTCAGTCTTTCTAAGGATGTTTTGTCAAGAGGAACTATTTCATTGGAAAAGCTTGAGAAACACTGATTTTAGAAGTTTAGGACTAAGCATTCAATATGATGTCATTTCTCACAATATCTGGACTGTTATCCCGAGACCTATATCTGCCTCTGTATCTGATGCTCTTTAAATATTTGTAATGAATTGTGAATTGGCCATTTTCTTAATTCATCATTATGACTTTTCTGAAGTTACTGAGTTATAAAAATATTATTGCCTAATGTCTTTTGGATTTCCATAGAAAAGATGGGGAAAAATTACCTGAAACTATTAATTGAAAATGTATATGATTTACTGATTATTTTTGATAGACAAAAATATCTTTGTTGCTGTGTATACACATTTGTATTTGTTTGTCATTCATATAAAAATATTGTTTCCCTTAAGTATTGAATTATTTCTGATATTTAAACATTTTTGAATGTTCTGATTTTTTTTTTGTTTACTACTTTATATTTATATACAGATATAACCTGAAGTTACTGATCAAATATAACTGGAAATGACATTGCTTGCTTATTAGATAAAATGATTTGAAGATTAATGAATCTTATGACAGTTTTTTTAGTTCATTGAAGCAAGTCATGTAAATTATGCCATTTGATTAGTTAATTAAACATTTACTGAATACTACTTGCAGAACATTTATTAAGCACTGTGCTGGGGTGTCTTATGTTAAAAAACAGAATTTGTCATAATATGAGAATATATGTATATTCAGCAAATATTTTGCCTTTGGAGACTCAGCTGTCTATCCCTTAGTTTGGTTAGTTTTAAAGGTAGAAAATGGTCTGTTTTGAATGAGAACACTAGTCCACTTTCTCCAAAATTTTATGATAAAGTGTCAAAGTATTAATATAGATAAGCTAGAATTAAATCAGTGTGAAATGGTAGATTTGAGGAAGATCTACGAAGAATTGGGTCTGGATTTAGATCATGAAGAATGGATAGAGTTCGGGTAGGTGAGTAGGAGGACAGCAACATTCTAAGAAAAACAAATAGCAAAATAAAAGCTTAAGGTGAAAGATGAGCATGAATTATTTAAGAGCAGTGAAGAGATATATTTGGTTAAGGCTGAAGATCAAGCCCAAAATGGAAAGGAAGAGGGAAGCAAGAGTCAAGAAACCCTAAAATGCTGAAAAGTTCTTTGTTATTATCTGACAGCCTATCCAGGTGCCAGATATTGTCCCAAGATGTTCACAAATATCACATTAAAAACTAAGAAAGATATAAAGCTCTTTATTAAAGACTTGGAAACAGGGACTTAGAAATATTAGATAACTCTTTCAAGGACAGGCAGTGCCTATGTGACTAGCTCATGAATCCAGGTGACTTATAAACCCATATACCTCTTTTATCCCAAAAAGCCCCTGTACTTTCTACTACCCCAAGCTGCCATGGTGAACTACTATAGGACTTTATTTTTATTTGCTTTTATCCACTTATTACTATTTGTCATTTTATTTTAAGCAAGATATGTGATAAAATGAGTGTTTTGGGAAGGTTATCTGACAGCAGAGTTTTAAAAGGGTGGTGAGAGAAAATAATTGAAATAACCAAGTGTTAGGGAAAATATTTAAGAATAGGCAGACGTAGAAATGATCTAATAATGAAATAACTTGATTGGAGAAGTGAGAATCAAAACCAGTGTAGGCATTTCTTTAGGACTTTTCTAATAGGTTTTCTTCACTCAAGGTGCTCTCTATACATAAATAGTCATTCTACAAAAAGTTTTTAGTTATTTCTCAATCTGATGAATTTATTAAAGCAAATAATCTTACTTCATTTTAAAGTCTTTTAAAACTGGGATTCCAAGCCGGGCTCTGTGGCTCAGCCTGTAATCCCGAGCCTTTGGGAGGCTGAAGTGAGTGGATTGCCTTAGCCCGCGGGTTCGAGACCCGCCTGGGCAGCGAGACCTCATCTCTACAATAAATCAAAAATCAGCCGGGCGTGGTAGCACGTGCCTGTAATTCAGGCTACTTGGAAGACTGAGGTGGAAGGATCGCTGGAGCCCAGCAGGTCGAGGCTGTGGTGGCCGGGAGCGGCCACTGCACTCCAGTCTGGGCGACCGAATGAGACTCCAACTCAAAAAACAAAACAAAACAAAAAACTGGGATTCCAGGAAAAAAGCCCCAAATTATGCCCCGAAATATCTATTGCAGGTATCTACCTAACTTCTGTATCCTAGAATAGTGTTAGTTTTGTACAGCCCTTGGAAAAATTGAGTAGTCACTCTGTTCTTTAGATGAGGAACTCCAGTTGAGAAATAATGATCTCATTTGTTTTTTTTTTTTTTAAACCACATAATCCTTCTGAGACTAGTGGCAACTGGTTAAATGTTCCATTATCATAATGTTCTAATAATATAATAAAACTTAGTTCTAAATTGTGTTTAAGTATGAAACACTCTTTAGTACACTACCTATTCCTTAAGCCTCAATAAGTAAACAATTTGCAGGCATGTGTACAATCCACAGTAGAGCTGGGATGATCCAAATACATAGGATGTAAAAGTCTTCTCAGTTTGGGTAGACAGCAGATAGCGTGAGGGGCACAGATTTGCTTACTATCTCAGTGTAGATAATAGCATGACTTGTTTTAATAGTCTTTTGACTAGTAAACTAGATTATTTTCTGACCTTTTTTCTTCATGCTATAGCCAGATATATCTAAAAGACTGCTTATATCAGTCCCCTTCTCAAAAAACTGCTAATGGTTTCCATTTACTAAAATTCTTTAGATAGGCATTCCGGGATCTTTGTGGTCTCATCCCAGACTACTCTGTCTGTCTATTGTACCTTGTTTAAGAGCTTACTGTAAATCTTACCCTCGGGTCAAAATAACCTTGATACTGTCCTACACATACCTTCTGAATCGCCCTTTCCCTATGGTATATAGTAAACGCTGGGTCTGGGAAGTAATGGTGCAAGGATCCACCATCTTGTCTCCCACTGCCGTCAGAGACACAGACATGGTTTCTATTGGTAAGTCCCTATTAAATGTTTCTAGGAAACTGGATATGTCAGCCTTTTTCTCTGGCCTCTCAGCTCTTTCTGACTGGTTGGTTTGCATAGACCTGTCCACCTTGAAACATATATCCAAC